ATTTTATATCACTATTCAAGATAGCCCATCGGGCAGGGCAGTGATACATTTTGGTAGCCCGACTGAAAAACACAATAGCCCCGGGACGTCGGGCTAGCGATTTTGCGAGCCTTGCATTGATAACTATTAATAATATTGATGATGATGATGATAACAAAAATAATAATAATAATAATAATAATGTAATTGTTAAATGTGGATAATGCTAAATATTACATGTAAATATTTATTATTATTATTAATCAATATTTACATTTAACATTTAACATTATCAACGTTTAACAATTACATTATTATTATATTATTATTATTATTATTATTATTAATAATGATTTTTACTATGAATAATTAATTCCATGAATGACATTAAAAATAATCAATCTTAACACTGATAACTGTTAATAGTATTAATGTTAAGAAGAAGAAGAAGAATAGTCTAATTGTGTTTGTTTCATGGTCATATGCAGTGAAATGTTCTTTCTCGTCATTCAAACTAATAGTTCAGTCTTGTGAAACCCATTATCCAATGAGTGACAGCTACGAATGTTGCTGCCATGCTGTACGGCTAATACACCTTCAGCTCCATTGTGAGAAGGTTAACAAGAAAATGTAATAGCGCTTTCATGAAATATGTGGGAAAAATAAAAGCATAGGTTTTATTATTTGATGAAAGAGACCTTTTGACATGCTATCTTCCATCACAGTGTGCTGTTTAGCCCACAGCTCCGTGCCTCTACCCTCCAGTAATCACATCCGTCCATCAAGGGCTCTGTGTGTGTGTGGCATGCATATTTAATCGTAACAGTAATCCTCTTACCCTTCTACAGTTAAATTTCCAGGCACCAAAACCTACATTGACCCTGAAACCTACGAGGACCCGAACAGGGCTGTCCATCAGTTCGCAAAGGAGCTGGATGCCTCTTGCATTAAGATTGAGAGGGTTATCGGCGCAGGTGAGCTCTTCCCTTGTCTTCTCCGCTGCCTCGCTTTAGTCACACACCTCTCTCATTTATCACAGTGACAACCAAATATTTACACTCTCGATAGCGGCCGGAGCATCTCTCCAGCCCCTTGTTATTGATAGCGCTGCTGTAGGATTGGTTTATAATTAATATGTCTTCTCCTAAGGCCAGGATACTCATAAATGCATTGCCATTGATGAATTGCTGCCGCATCTCTTTTAGTTACAAACCGTATAAGTGTGTTAGCGTGTCCTCTATATAGCATATCCAATTATCTGCTCTCTTGGTTGCACTCCCCTGTGTACTGATGCATAGCATCATATAATGCTGAATATTGCTGCTAGTGTGACTGATATGTATTAAGCAGCACAGGTATAGGTAACGGTGTCAAACGTGGCCCGGATCTCTGGAACTCAGCTTGCGGGTGGTTGTGTGCTTCACAGGAGAGTTTGGAGAGGTGTGCAGCGGACGACTGAAGCTGCCGGGAAAGAGGGATGTGTCGGTGGCCATAAAAACGCTGAAAGTAGGCTACACTGAAAAACAAAGGCGGGACTTCCTGTGCGAGGCCAGCATAATGGGCCAGTTTGATCACCCGAATGTGGTCCATCTGGAGGGTGTCGTCACCAGAGGTGGGCAATTCATTAAGTTCATGTGCTTTCAATGCTGGCTGCTTAACTAGCTAAGACGTCCTTTTCTTTAAAAAAAAAGAAAAAAAAAAAGTGTACTTAATTGTACTGAATGTGCACTTTTAGTGTACTTCAAATTTTAAAAGTATATTTTTTTTTAATTGTACTTGCAGATAATATAATATTAATAAAATAAAAGCCACTTAAGTGTATTTAAGTTCACTTCATGACTGTTTCTTGACATCCTTAAATACACTTTTACAGAACATTTACAAGTACATTTTGTAATAATATCAAATTGAAAGTTTTACTGTAAAGCACAACAAAAAAAATAAAGCAATGATTTAAAATGTACTTCAAAGTACATTTATTTTGATGTGTTGACAAAATACTAAAACACATGTAAAGTACTTGATTAGAATTTGCACTGTAGTGTTATTTGATATTATATTTAAAGTAAATATATTTTAATGTACTAATCTGCAGCTTAATTACAAATGTTTAATCACAAATATATTTAAATACATGACATACACATTTTAATAGCAGTAACATTAGTTACATTAAGTATATTTTAATTTACCATAAATGCTTGTCAGTTCATTTTAACCATATTTCAAAGACAATAGAAGTAATTATGAAATTACATATAAAAGATGCACTTAAATCCTACTTTAAAAAAGCACTGTAATGTTTAATGGGTCAAAATAGCATTGTAATGTTTAACCAATTGCATTTAATATGAATTTTAAATATTATTTTTCATTTAATCACATTTAAAGTATCATCAATATATGCTAAAGTGTATTCCTTTTTCACAAAGGTTGGTCAAGAAATGAAGGGCTGGTTGCAAAATTAAATATCTAAACACACATCAAAAATGACGAGGCCAATTGTAGTCCGATGAATGACATTATCTAAATCTGTTAGTCTGACTTTGCAAAAACTGGACTGGTGCGATTTGAGTCAGACTAGTGTTTACGTGACATTTAAACAAGACAAATCATTGTTTCAGTCCGACTGAAATTGAACTTTTAAAGCGTACTATTAATCTTCTAAACTCATGAGAGTTATGACCTATCGTAAGCTCAGTTGTGAAGTCATATTGTTATGATTTGATCTTGTAATTTGGATAATATTATTTGTGGCTCAGGGTCGTTTATTAATATTTTTGGAGAGCGTACACTCTTTATGAAAAGCCCGGCCGACAGACTAAAGAGAATCCAGTGTTGTAGAATTGTCTGTGAATTGTTTCTCATTACTGCTTTCATACAGTGTGTGTTGGTCGCACTTTAAAAATATTAAAATAACATATATATAACATTATATATATATATAAATATATATATATATATATACACACACAATAAAAATGTACTAATTCCATGTATTAATTATTTATTTATTATTTAATAGATTTATTTTTAAATCATGCCTATATCAGTTCACTAAATCATCAGTAAACCAACCATCATCATCACAATATCAGTTCACAAGTCATCACTGCTCTAATGCATCAAGGCATATGTTGGTTCTGTGATCATCTTGTTTTAAATTCCTTCTACATTAATTCATATTTTTTTAATGCAGCCATTATACATATTTGATCAGTTTCAAACGTTTCTCATGCGGGTTAAATTAAAAAGTCGGAAACTAAAATTCTCTCCACATCCTTTCAACTTCATCAAGGCACTTTTAGAAGAAAAGACAAGTCTCTTATTTGTTCAGCTTACTTTATAGTCTTGTAAAACCACAGCTTGCACCAAAAGGCCTATGTTTACTCTGTGAACAGAATCTGTAGGTATTCACGTATTAGGACAGTTAAGCATGTCTGACACTTTGAATTTTCTAGCTGGATATCAACACAGGTGTCAGGAGTGACCTTGTTTTAATGATACATTTTGAGGATAAAAAGGTTTAATGGATCTGCGGAAACGAATCAGTGTTTTGCTTGTAGAATTCCTTTTTGTATTCTGCAACACTTTCAACCTTTATAATGAGAAATGATAATGTGAGCCAAATTCATCATTAGCAGAGTTTAATCAATTCAAAGATATCTGCTTAGCCATGCAAAACCTTCTGAACGATCTGCCGAGCCGAGATTTTCTGAAGGACTGAGCTTTTGTCTCAAAGAAATCGGGACAGCAAAGTGCCGTTCATCATTCTGATCACATGCGTGCAGGGTTTTCAAGTTGAAGCGGATTGAATTTCTGATATGGTCACGGCTAATGAGATGTATGAGGGGAAGTGTTGTTAATCTGCCGCTGTATGTAGGCACTTGTCTTGTGTACGCTGCACTGGTAGGCAGATTCTTTGTCAAAATTACACAAGCTTGAACATCCTCAGAGAACCTTTATCAGTGAGACTAATGATGACTTATAATTCTCTGCTCACTAGTGAACGTTAGCTCTCCATGGTAGTGACTAGCTTGTATCAGTCTTTAATGTTATTATTTTTTGCGTTTGAACATTTGCCTCGGTGGAGTCTTGATACTTGTCAGGCCTCGACGTCTGATGTTTTTATACCCTTTTGAGGGGGAGGCGAAAAACTCCTTGAGGGCTGCTAAAAAAGAAGGAAATATTTACATTTCTTCAACTCTTTTCTGTTTTGACACTTTTCTTTCCGTAGCTCAAGCCTTGTTTGGAAAGACATGACAAGAATAGCAGAAGAGGATTTGGGGAAAATAAACAAAATCTGCTTCTACTATTCCTTGGGAGTAGACAAGGGGGGAAATCATAGATCTGGACAAGCCTTTTCTCTGTTTAGTTACAGAGAAAAGATACAAATAATTTTATCAGTTTAGCTGCTAGTTGTGCATCCACATTTCTGAAAGACTCTTTTGCTCATTATAGCTGCATTTTTTTATTAAAATACAGTAAAACCGGCAATATTGTGGAATATTACAATTTAAATTGTTTTCCATTTTAAAATGTAATTTATTCCTGTGATGGCAAAGCTGAATTTTCAGCAGCCATTACTCCAGTCTTCGGTGTCACATAATCCTTCAGAAATCATTCTAATATTATCAATGTTGAAAACAATTGTGCTGCTTAATATTTAGATTTTATTTTTCCAGGATTCACTGAGTATAAAGTTCAAAAGAACAGCATTTATTTGAAATAGAAATATTTTAGAGCATGTCTTTACTGTCACTTTTGATCAATTTAATGCATCCTTACTGTCTGTTGTGCGCTGGTGATGGATAGACAACGTTTCTCTGTTTGTGCTTGCACAGAAACATGATGGGCAGTTCACTGTGATTCAGTTGGTGGGAATGCTGCGCGGCATCGCGGCCGGCATGAGATACCTCTCAGACATGGGCTACGTCCATCGCGATCTGGCGGCGCGAAACATCCTTGTCAACAGCAATCTCGTATGTAAAGTGTCCGACTTCGGCCTGTCCAGAGTGATTGACGACGATCCCGAAGCTGTCTACACAACGACGGTGAGTCAATTAAGCCACTGTCTCATCGTACCTGCCTTGGAAGCCCACGGCGCTCTCAGAATAAACAAATCAATCCGTGCATCAGATAGGAGAACAAATATAGATACTGTCTGTGCTGCATTGTGATGCTAGACTGTAACTGAACATCAATACAGTGCTCTCTAACTCTTCATATTTTAGAGCATGTCTTTACTGTCACTTTTGATCAATTTAATGCATCCTTACTGAAAAAAATAATTGATTTCTTTGAAAAAAATCAAAAATCCTACTGACACCAAACTTTTGAACGGTACTGTATATTTACTGTAAACATAACTCTAAGGCCCAGCATGCTGAGTGAGTAAGAGAACAGGTGGTTTTATTGTTTTATGGTCCCTTTACATTCATAAACCCTGACATGTGGAGCTAGTCAACTGCACAGACACCCAAGTGACAATGCGTTCATCTTTGGTTTAAACCGTAACCCTGTTAGCTAGTTAATTACATAGACTCATGATAGTATGACAGTCACAAGCAGCTGTTGAACAGACGGCTTTTAGTGCGCTTGCTTCATTCACATCCAGTTTTGGCAGTGCCCTTTTTTATTGCACTCGGACTCCCTCCAATAACCAGTGCAAGAATAATCGCATCTGGTTAGTTTGTAATGCTGGAGGTAAACCACAACAGATTTATCTAGCAAAGCTGCTGTTTACAGAGTCCCGATTAAAGGATGAGCAAATGGAGAGCTGGAGGTGCAGGCAGGGCTTTGTGTACATTTCGTTCTGGATGCTAATGGCTAGGCTACTCAGTTTTTCCTTGTCTTTTTGTATCTCTGTCTCTAAACCTGTTGGTTTCCTTTCACGCCTTTTCTAATTTTCCATCTCTCACTCTGATCTTGCAGGTCATAAAGGCTATAGAGGAGGGATATCGTCTTCCCGCCCCCATGGACTGCCCTCCTGGCCTCCATCAGCTCATGTTGGACTGCTGGCAGAAAGACCGAGCAGACCGACCCAAATTCGACCAGATCGTCGGCATCCTGGACAAAATGATCCGTAATCCTAACACCTTAAAAACACCAATGGGAACGTGTACGCGGTGAGGACGCCCATTCAATATTTTTTTACTGCCCGCCGTTATCCATCTCTGCTCAAGGAAAATGATGCTGTTCACAGACCAGCTTTGCTTTTACGACGCATGGAAGTTGCTTGTTATATTTTATACTCCTGCACCTCCCTGCAATGTCTTTGTGCCCTTTTATAGGTTCACGAGTAAATTTGCGAACAATTCCATCTGTCCGGCATTTGATTTATCTGCTAGGGTTTACTGATGAAAAATAAATCTCGGGGAATCAATAAAGTGAAACAGCTTCCATGCCTTCATGTTCGATAACAAGGACTTTAAATCAATTGTCATAATGAGTGTTGGAGACTTTAAAGCCTTGTGGGAACTCCAGTCCCCAGTGTGGTATTAGACAGAGGAAGTTTACAATCATAACTGGATCTGTGTCTCACATTGAAGATATGACTTTTAAAACTTTGGAAAGCCCTTGGTCCACCTAACCATTTTTCACAAGTAATGCAATGCAACAGTTCGCTAAATCACTACGATGTAAATACAATAAACCATGTGTCTTTGTCTGTAATCCATGTTAGTTAGGGTTGGCACAACACTAATATCAGTGAGATCTCATTATTCTCAGTTTCAATACTGCTACAAGAATATTATGCTATTGAAAACCTCTTATTTAAAATGTTTATTAATTTAACAAATTAAACTATAACAATGTCATGCAGCCTTTTTGTGTTTACATCTGCTAAATATGAATTTTAGGAGACATGAATATATCACTAAGGCATTTGACCTCTCTATTACCAAAATGATAATTATTTTCATGTTACGGATGTAAGTAATCTAAATGTACAAAATAAGGGGAAAGAGAATGTATAGTAAAATATCCACTCTCTCTCTCTCTCTCTCTCTCTCTCTATATATATATATATATATATATATACACACACAAATAGATAGATACTTTTGGCATAAAAGGTCAACTGAGGACAGTATCATATACCAGTACCTAGAAATAATGGTTTTATTAACATAATAATGGTTTTATACACTCATATTTGTCTCTTCCTTTTCCTTAGACCCATAAGTCCACTGCTTGACCAGAACACTCCAGATTTCACCTCTTTCCGATTGGTCAGTGAGTGGTTGGAAGCCATCAAGATGGAGAGATACGTGGACAACTTCACAGCTGCCGGCTACAGCTCGCTGGAATCTGTCGCTAGAATGACTATCGAGTAAGAGTGCTTCGCTATGATCTTTCCTGCACACTGCCACGCTCTATAGAAATGCATGATCTTTCTAGGAGTCATTTCAGCCCTCAGCTCTCATTCACAATACGATCCAGACATTGCGCTGCATTTTAATCAGATCTCTTTGACTCATACTCAGACTCGTCGTGTTGTGGTTAATATGACCTTTTCTCAGTTTCCTTTTGCCTAGGTAATGAAATACCTCTCAGGCGTTTCACGCTCCATTGATGTGATTTATGAACGTTGTGTTTCTGCTTTAGGGATGTAATGAGTTTGGGAATCTCCTTGGTGGGCCATCAGAAGAAGATCATGAGCAGTATACAGACTATGAGAGCCCAGATGCTGCATCTTCACGGGACGGGCATTCAAGTGTGATGGGCGTCTGCAGCGCTCCCCGGTCAGATGAACCAGAACTCTCCAGGACAGCACCGCAAAATGTGTGACACAGCAACAAAAAAAAAACACGTAAAAAAACCCACTCAACAACAAAGAAAAAACTTTCCGTTTTTAACCTTCCAGAACTGACAGAACAGAATCATTCCTTTGTTATTGGCGAAGGATTTTGGCGAAGGTGCTGGAAACCAAGGGATGGAGAGACATGGAAAACGCAAACAGGCAAGAGAGAGAGAATCCTAAACAGACAGTGACCTCTGGATGCTCTAAAGAACTCATCACGTCATTGAGATGCAGCATTTGAGAGGATTTTTATGCTTTGTACGGACTGTCTTGCTCATAGTTGCTATAGATTTAACTGATTTCTTTTTTTTAAATCAAGGGTGAATACAAAAATAAGCAAATGAGTGAATTTGCTGCGAGTTCATTTGCTTTGGTTTGTAATATCCACATTAAGGAAGTGTGGGACGTTACTCTTCTACTCGATTGATTTATGTTAGCTTGTTTTCTTGGATTGTGTTACGGAACTGACAACAGGGTAAAACGTCTCATCTGGAGAGAAAGAGACAGAACCAGAGGCTGAAAGTCGACAGAGGAGGTTTGTCTTCTCCAGCCAGCACTATCTACATGAAGCTCTCTCCAGACTGAAGCATTGGCAGAGAGTCGGGCTGACCTGGTCTTTTATATCAAACAGAAATGTCCCACTGCTTGGTCACGTGAAGCTCCTGAGAGTGGCTGGTTGTGTTTAAGAACAGCCCGAGCAGACGGTTAGGTATATTTTATGATCCTACATGACAATTCAGATGTGAATTAGTACAAAGAGAATTGCTAACCACTTCAGGTGGAGTTTTTTTTAATGTAAGAACAACTATTACGGTGGCAATATTCTTTCTAAGTTTATATTTACCACAGGAATGGATTTATCAGTGATGTTGTTGAATGTGTACTTTTTAATATTGATATTATTTACCATAAATACATGTTTCCATAAAGAATGGAAAAATTAAGAAAAAAAAAAGAAAGTTAGGCTATTTTGATTTAATTTTTTAAGCAACCGTTTCATTTTTGTTCAGTATCAGTTGGTTTCCTAGCGGGTGACTGACTTTAAAATCATACAATGTTGTGACGTAAAGGAGTAATACTGCCTTAAAACAAGTCAACTATTGCTCTTATTTTTAGGTACTTAGATTCTTTGTGAGATCACGGCTGAGTTAGGGAGAGACTGACTAATATGAGCAATAATTTGAGGTGCTGTATAGACTTTTACTCACGTACTGCTTGGAAATCAGCAGCAGTGCTGTGAAATTTGATCAAAGAGAGTTGGTAAATTTGTTTCGGTGTGTTTCTTCCACCCTTTTGTTGTGCTGAGCTCAAAGGTGAGGTTTACGCTAAAGTTTTAGTGCCATAACAGCCTTCCACTCTCAACTGAATGTTTCGTTGACAACTAAATGTTACGCATTTTAGTGTTAAGTACTTTAAGGAGTACCGTAGACCTTTTTAGACTTGCTTTGCTGGGCTGCCACAAAACTCTACCATTTTAGTCAGCTTTGAACTGATGTAGTTTTGTTTTATTTACTACAAGACCTTAATGTGACACATTTTAAACACACACAACATGTTTTTCATTATTTTGGGGAGCCAATGCCATTTTAACCGCAACAGCCGTGCCAACATGTGGCATTTTTCTTGATTAGAAAGAAAGCGAAGGCGGAGCCGTTGGAGCGCAGCATCACTGGAGGATTTAGCCAAACGTTTGGCGCTTCAAAAAAGCCATCGTTTACCATGCCGTCTCCATTGTGAACCCAGCTGGTTTGTGTGTGCGTCTCATGAGGATTATATCGTACCCTGGTTAGAGGCCCATCTCTGCTCCACTATCCTTCCATCTCGCTAACCTCAGCATTGAGCCCACGCCAGGCCTCTTTGAATTGAATGCGAGCGGAATGGCTCTCGGTCAGCACAAACCTCTTGAGCTTCGACACTCAGATCAGCCTCCCGGCACGCTCTGATCTCACACTCCGGCCTCCCGGGGGCCCCTCACAGGCCCTTACCCTCTCCTTTTGGATCCGGAGCCCCTATAGATACAGCAATTTGAGCCAATTTGAGATTAATGCCTGGATTCAATCAATCCCACATTGAGGCCACCGTACGGGTCAATGACAAATCTGTCAATTTTTCTCCTTTTCTGCTTTGTGCTGTTTCTAACTTTTCTGGTTTGATATAGTGGAGTTTTCGGTCAAGACAGTTTGTGCCGTGGATTGATTGAGTTCACGGTGCAGCAGGGTATTAAATACTTCTCGAAAGACGCTAAAGAGCCCACCTAAGACAAAAAGTGAAGTGGAATATTCCAAAGAGTTCAGCACTGTTGATTGTGTCAAGAGTAATCACAAACCAGAGGACAATTTGTATATGTTTTAGCTGTAAAACTTGTATATTTTATTTATAATTGTCGTTTCTTTTCTTTATTTTTCACTTAAGTACTCTGTAGTGAGCTCATTGAAAATGCACTATATTTTTCTATCTCACATGCAGCTGATTCTCATCACCCTCACTCTTTCAGTTGTACATAATTTCTCATTTAGGACCAAAGAGAGCTAATAGGTGTCCATTTTAGAAGAGTATTTTTTCTTTTCTCTTTTAGGTTGGAAAAATGTACAGTACAAATGAATTGTCGATTTATTATTTATTTTTCTGTGACAAGAGTATGGAGAGTATTCATTGGTCAAAAAAAAGTATTTTCCTGAGTTGAAAAACTGTATGGTCATTTACCTTGACGATTTCTTGTTACATAGACCTTTTTTTTTCTTTTGCTTTGTAACCTTTGTAATAGACTGTACATATATTTTTGGAAATATAATGCAATCTTTATAGCGGTGTCTGCCTTCGATTTCTGTTTCTCCATGATGAGCCTGGGCTCTATGATTTACAGGGTTATGCGCTATTCAGAACTGAATTCAAATTCAATTCAATTTTACACATTATTATTAACACATGTAATTAACATACTTTAAATGACAACATCTGTCATGAAATGATCATAAATGTTGTTTCTGCCTTTTTCAAACGCTATTTAAGCATTTCTCTGGTTGGTGTAGCCAATACACGTATGTGGCCCTAAGCACTCATCTCAAGACACTGACTGATTCTATGCGAATTAGAGCTTCAAATGGATGCAATGACTTTACCAATTGGTGATTGTCTCTTTTATTTAGAAGGCGGGACTTATTCTGCCATATGAGTGAACTTTCTTGATATATACATTCTTGGATTAAGGTAACGAGCCGGATACCTAATAGCATTTTGAATTTGAATGTGAAGTTGTAGAATTAAAATTTCAAGTCTATATCTAATATATTTAAGATCATATTTCATAGCCAGGCTGGATTTGCAATTCAGTAAATCCCTCTTATTTCATTTCAAATGAGCTTCCAGACCAACGTAGCCAATTCAGTTCAAATTTACACATGAAAGTGAGATTCTTCTATTCTGAATTTTGCACATCACAAATTTTCGATGATTTAAATGTTGCATTGTAACGCGTGTATTTTCCAACCAGCTTTTTGTGTGATTCAGCAAACAAACAAGGAGAAAGAGCTAATGTGACCCTTGAGAATTGTTTGGACCCCTGCTAAAGCACTTTGACTTTAATATTAACATTATTTATTGACAAGACAGAGCGCGAGAGGAAGAGAGGGTGGGAGATTTGTTTGATGACCCTGCTCATGACAGGATCCTGGATAGTGTCATTAAAAAGACATTACCCAAAGCCTCAGACATGGGAAAATTAAGCCACGGCCCCTTTGGGAGTTAAACAAAGAGGCCCTAATGGATTTATGAAGATTATATATCTGCAGATACTCTGATATTTATTTTATTAACTCAAAGGGAATCTTAACCTCATTGTGTCTCAAAAGCTGTATACAAAAAACTCTGGCAGAAGTTGATAGGCTCTGGACGAGTGGGACCGTTTCTCTGATGACAGAACATCCCTAATCCCTGCTAATCTTGCTTCCATCAACAATTACCAAGCTGTTGTGCTCTTTTGATGGAAACACAACAATGCAACTGATTCCATGACATTTACAGTTTAGTGTTTGTTCATTTGAGATTATACTTCCAAAGAACAAAATGAAAGGGATCAAGATCCTGTAAACGGCAAGCTTCTCGCAAGTAAGAAGAATTGAATGAAGGATATTCAATTATAATAATGTGATTATCTATACGTTATCAAATTAAATCATTTACACTGAAAAATACAACTGCATTAAATAATATTATGAGATTCTTTTAAATATTTTTTTAATATACAAACAAGAAATGATGATGGAAATTATACTTTTCAACGAAATTAAAACGCCAGTGCCAGTAATGTTTAATGAGTGAGTCACTGAGTCGTTCATTCAAATGATTCATTCAAACGGCAGATTCATCAGATGTTTATGCGTGGGCTAATGAAACTTTGATTCAACCGATTCGTTCAAAACACAGAATCAATCAGCAATGAATCGGCTGGTTGCTGTGAGATGCGCTGTGTTTAAAACGTAAGTGACCTAATATTATTGTATTTGCTTATTGAACTGTTTATAGAACTATTAAACAGTCGTACTTGTGAAAACGTTGTTTGATGTTGCCTAACTAACTGCATTTTAAATATAAAAACTTTCCATTTTGAATTTTTACCTCAGGATGCTGAGTTTCTTAGTGTTGCGCGTTTTGATTTCTCCTGGAGAGGCTGCGTGAACCTCGCCTCAGCAATAGATGCATAATATACAGTCTATGTGCCGGGGTTCAGCCCTGGACGACCCCGGCCCAATTTAAACCCTGCTAATGTACACACTGATCTGTTCATTAGGTTATTCGAGGAACTCTGTGGGGGTCAATATCAAGTAACCGGTAAACCTTATACATTTGTATGTAATGAAAAACAAGATTTGCTGAAACTCATTAGAATATTGCACGTTGACTGAGATCCAAATCAAGATGTTGTCCAGCTGTTGTTTTAAGCCAGACTTGTTTGTGTGTTCTGTCCAATTTCAAGTGCTCCAAAGAGCACTACAATCTGTCTCAAGTTTCTTTGTCCTTTACACTAATAGATTGTGTTTGAACAGTTTGACTAGAAGTTAGTGCAGCTTTGTAAAGTCACCCAGAGTTTCAAACAACAGCATTAGCAGGATTAAACTGATCAAAAGTGACAGAAAAAAATATGGTAATGTTACAAAAGAGTTCTCTATCAAGTAAATGTTGCTCTTTTGAACTTTCGATTCATCAAAGAATCCTGAAAAAACGGTGTATCACAAAAAATATTTAGCAGCACAACTGTTTTCAACATTGATAATAATAATGAATGTTTCTTGAGCACCAAATCAGCATATTAGAATGATTTCTGAAGGATCATGTGACACTGAAGACTGGAATAATAGCTGCTTTGCCATCACAGAAATAAATTCTATTTTAAAATACATTAAAATAGAGAACTGTTTTTTTTATTGTAATATTTCAAAATACAGTTGTGGTTTTACTGTATTTTTGACCAAATAAATGTAGCCTCAGTGAGCACGAGACTTCTTTCAAAAAAATAATATTATTTAAAATGACAAAATCTAATTATAATGGTTTACCATAAAATTATATAATTTAGTTTAATTTATAATTAAAAACATTTTGACTTATAAAAACATAAATTAACAGAAAATGTGAAAATAATACCTTTTAAAGTTCAGATTAAGACTGCTGTGTTAGTCCTTGTACTCTTTTGCTCCTGCCATCATGATGATGGACAAATTTGCTAGGTGTCATTCCCAATCTTCACTAATTGATGCACTTTAGCAGGGATTGCACACTGATCCGTGCCATATTCCCTCACACACATCAAACACCTCACACAGATCTTCCACAGATTGTCAATTAAGAACGTGACCTGTGAGTTTCTGTCTATCTACAGTATGCGATATCTGATTGTCCTGGCATATATAAAAGGTGGGAAACATTAGACACTGCTTACTGTGCTGGAGTGCAAACGTGGAGTTATGTGTGTGTTTGACATTAATGAATGAGGGAGCTGTCATATAGTGTTCATTCTGTCAGGTGTACAAGCTCTACATGACTTGAACGCATTCAGATGTCAGCTTTCACTAATGAAAACAGCTCAGCGTGAAACCTGCTCAAAGTTTCCCAAGAGATTTAATCCAACTCGCTCTACAACACAACACTAAGACATTGAAAGTTGGAATAAGCGGTACTAAAGGCAGTTGATTAGCAGTCATTCTGTTTCATTAAAGGAATATTCCGGGTTCAGTACAAGTTAAGGTCAATCCTTTGTGCATGATGTTGAATAGCACAAAAAATAATTTCCACTTGTCCCTCATTGT